GACCTATTTTCACTTAAAAAGTCAAAGAAAATTGACAAAAATCCATTTCTTCTTACTCTTGTAAAAAGCGCCAAACAAATAAGTGGACGATTCTGCACTTTAGCAGCGAAATTGTTTCTAAGTGTGCTTATTAGCTAAAATCACGATCGGAATTTTCCAGAAAATGTCACATGACATGTCTCATGATCTCTCATTTCTCTGAGACAAATTAATCTGTGATTCGAACTGTGTACTTCTCAGATTATTGCTAAAGTCCTACCTAGTAACCTTTATCGCCTTACCAAAATGTCGCCAAACTACCTGTTACCATATTCCAAAGATTAGCTGAACAAAGTGTTAATTTGCTTACCATTAGAGATAAAATAAATGCAATGATAAAAAAACTCGAGCTAATTATCAAAGAATTGGTTATTGAAAATAACAGAAGAATTAGCATCCGATTAAAATCATTGTTTTTCATTGACAAATAATTTCAACTTGTATTTTCCTGAAGATTATGGAAAAGAAAATTCGATTGAAAATCCATATTGCTCATATGTACCTGAAATTTTATATCGTGAAGTAAAACAACAATTGATAAAAAGAATTTAAAGGTATTTCAAATAAAGCTATTAAATTTTTATTGCCTTTTTTCAAACTTATTTGTGTAAACAAGGATTGTCTTCCATTGTTATATTTGAAAAATAAATACAGACCAAAATTAAAATGATCCTAATTTACGGTTAAATCTAAGTGAAATAAGACCAGGCATAAAGAAATAGATCTCTCTTAAACAGGTGCAAATTTCGCACCAAATTTTAGAATTAAAAGTATTATAACTTAAATTTTGATGATTAACATGGTAACCAATTTTTTATCTAATATTTTTATGTGTGCATATTTAACGGAAATAGCCAATAGATTATGCAAAAAGCAATGGATATATATAATATTTCTAATGAGAAATTGAAAATAATTATTGTAAAATGTAGTGGTGGTACTAAAGTTTTTCAATTTTTGTTTAGATGGTAAGTATTAGTCAAAAGGTTGAGAACTGCTGATCAAGAGTTTACCTATTATGGTACATCGCGCAATCCCACCCTAGGTCGCGCATCCAGTGTTTATTAAAAATAATGATCTAGGGCACAGAGATATTACAATATAGTCTCAATACAATCTGAAATTCACAAATTAAATTGAACAACTACTTTGGGGTAATAAAATAACAGATAAACGTAATTAGTATACAGATAAACATAATGAGAAAACTGAAATAAATATTGAGAGCACAATGTTATAATGAACTGTAATAATAATAATACTAAGGACGTAGGTGTTCGTGATGTTATTTCAGTTATAAAAAGTTATTGCAGTTTAATTGTTCACAAGTTGAGTCATTTTGCCATATTCATAGGATGTTAAAAATGCACTAAATTTCTGCAGCATGAGATCTTATACTTGACAAAGATCTAGGCCGTAGGAAGAGAGCTCCGTTGCATAATTTTTTGAAACTTCGGATGCTGATGTTTATCTTTAATTAGAAATCTTAGCCTCAGAACGTTCAGTATTTTTATTCTTTTACGTTGGTAAATTGTGTATTTTTTGCTTTAAAAATGATTAAATTATTTTGTTCTTACCTTCTGGTTGGGGATTTTATGCCTTTAGTTAATATGTATGCAGTAGTTGTGGAATTATCAACAATTTAAAAGTTATTTAAGTGGGGCTAAGCCTACTTTTTTTACCATAGCAGCTATATTTCTTTGCATTTGAAATTAGCAGAATTTTGAATTAAGTCAGCTTCTGCACCTTCATTGTCTTTTTGCCGAGTAGGACCAAAAGTAAACTTTTAGTTTTGTGCACCGAAAATTCTGCCTTCTTGCCCGTTGGCCGAATAGCATGTTTTTTAATATAAAATCCAATTTTAATTCTAAAAATTGTTTTTAATCGTTTTTAACTGCATTTGAAGTTTTATATTCTTCTATATTTTTCAATTTTCAATAAAGATATTTTGAGTTTTATGTATTTTTGCCTTGCCGCGAAGTGAGAACTGAATTAATTGAATGAAAAATATATCTTTAATGAAATTCGAGGAAATAAGTTTAAGTGAAATGCAGGAAAAAATGCGCATAATGTAGTATTCCATACAATTAAGTCATGTCGTGTACACATCAGATTTTTAACTTTGTTTTCGTCTTTTCCGAAGGTTTAATGCACTTAATTTTATTTACATTTCTCACATTAAGCTTAACAAAACTACATAAACGCCGTTTTCTCACCAAATGTTTTGGCGATAACTTTTTGCATAACGAGTGCATCTGGCACATCTGTTCCTAAGAATGCACACAAAATCAAATAATTAAAATGATCTGTTCAAAATAACAGTGCCAAATGATAAGGAAAAATGCTTGCTCTGATCTTATTCCATCCTAAATTAACGCAAAAGAGGACTTCTCTAATAATAAAACAATTATTCGGGGTTTAGATGTGAAGTATTTAACTGTATCACTTGCACACAAAGCTGCTAACAAATATTTTCCACACCTGAAATGGCAAGAATTTATATTTTCCCAGGATAAATGCTTCATATTAGGAGAACAGTAACACTTTCTTCGATATGTTAACAACAACAGACTCTTCGAGATGATATTCTTCCATTAAAGAAAACGTTGAAAAACAGAGTAATAAAATATTACATGTCTTTAAAAAGTGCATATCTACTTATAAGATTTGTTTGAAATTTTTGCTGAATGCAGCAATAAAGACCTAACCATAACTTTTGAATGAAATTGTACTTAAGTATAAGAAACTTAAGCAAATCTTTGCAGTTTTTAAAATGTGTAAAGGCAGCGTAATAAAATATTCAGCGACGTTAAAATGTGCATGTTTAATTATAGGATTTCTGAAATTCATGCATAATACAGGACAAATAATAACCAAAACTTTTCCAAAAAAAGTTTCCTAGTTAATAAGAAAGTTACATAAAATATACAAAATCCTTAAGAAACGTTACGAGCAAATTAATTTAGAGAAACAGTTAAAATACATTATTAAGGGAAAATAATCATATTTGTTCATTAGAACAAAAATGAACAAATATAGTAAGTATACATAGTAGTATTTAGCAAACATAGTAGTATTTTACTAACAAATATAGTAGTATTTGTCCATTAGAACAAAATGCGTAAAGCATAGTAAGTTATGCTGAGACATATGTATATATTTTGTGTGATGGACATATGATTAACTTTCTGCTTAATACGTAAAATACTGAAGTGAGCATTTAAACTAGTAGTTTGATTAATTTCAGCATCTGATAATGTTACTTTTAACTATTCAAATAAATGAATTAAAAGAAATCATTGTTTTTACTTCCTTGTACGAAGTAAAAAGGAAGTATTGTAATCGCGAAAAGTTTCAGGCAGCATATTTCAACGAAAATATCCATTTTGACAGCTATCGAACGCAATTTAACGATGTTTTTGCGTCATATCTGTACGTAAGGACAGAATAAAAAACTCTTTTCCTTCAAAAAAATTATAAAACTGCTTTAAAATGAATTCTGAAGAGAATTTTTCCTGGCGTCTGTACGAACGTATGTATGTACGTACGTACGTACGTATCTCGCATAACTCAAAAACGAGTAGCCTCAGAACGTTGAAATTTTGTATATAGGACTGCTATAACATGTAGATGTGCACCTCGTATTTTGGTTGCAATCGGCCGCACCAAACGTATATAAATATATATATATATATCCACTCTGTTACCCGGCTCAGTGATCTCAGTTTCTTTACTCTTATATGTTTGTAAATTGTACATTTTTTGCTTTAAAAATGATTGAATTATGTTGTTTTTATCTTCCGGTTAAGGATTTTATGCCTTTAGTAAATCTGTGTGCAATATTTTTAGAATTATCAGCAATTTTAAAGTTGTTTAATTGCCGCTAAGCCTGTTTTTTAATGGCGGCCATTGATGTTTACATTTGAAACAGGAGACTAGTGGATTTGTTGCCAATCTAGAGAAACTTAGCTTCGCAACAACAAAGACAACGCATTCATTTATTATTGCCAATTAAATCATGCTTAATTCTTTCTGGAATTTTTTCGAGGAAATAAGAGTTTGAGATTTACTTCTTAATTTTTAATATAGATATTTTGAGTTTTTATGTATTTTTGCCTTCTCGCGAAGTGACAACTGAATTAATTAAATCAGAAATACTCAATCGTCTGTGAAAAACTGTTTCTTTTTTGTTTTGTTTGCTTAATTTTTTTATACATATTTCTAGCTTTATTATAGTATTTGAATAGAACATGTGGCAACGATTAGATAATTCTTTAAATGATATACATTTTGTGCATTCTGAGTTATAATATGAATAAAATATAATACTGTTAATTAAACCTAGCGCCAGAGTGTCGCTATGGTAAACAAAGTGAAATTTAAAGAATGCATTTATTCTATTGTGGTTTATGCGCTGTCGGCGAAGTAGGTTTAATTCAATCTAATAAGTTTAAATAAAATGCAAGAAAAAATGCGCATAATTTAATATTCCGTACAAGGAAGTCATGTGGTGTACACATCATATTTTTTATTTTTAAGAAATGCTCATTTCACAAACAAAAACATAATTTTAATTGTGTTTATTAGTTTAATACTAGCTATTAACAAAAAATAACTACATACTACATTATAATTTACATGCTCTTGTTATTAGATATTTATAATTTTGAAATGACATATTTTTATAATTTTTATTTGATACTTCCTTTCTATTTTTACAATCTTAATTAACGCTGGCATAATTATACTGCCGTATAATTGTCTATTTATATCTACGTAAGGAAATATTTTACAGTTTCTATTCATCGCAAAATGTTTTCTTTCGATTAAATTAAACATAAGTAAATTAGTTTATTTAAAGACATAAAATTTTCAGATTAGTGAGCTGCTCTGGTCAGAGACTGGCGAATTTCTGATGATGTGTATAATAGCGAAACACGAAAGTGGTATTTAAAGCTTACCCGCATAATTGAAGCCATCTTCCAGAACATCATGAGGTTGGATTTCAAACGTTTGAGGAATGACATCTTTTTGGACAATGGTAAAAGCACAAACGGAGAATATTAACGCAAAGAACTGCAAAGTGAAATACATCTTTTACGGTACGCCTATAGAATGGTTTAAGAGCTAGGGCAAGAAATGCTTTTAAATGTTCGTTGCCGTGGATTCCAAAGCGAAAATGGTTTGAACATCCACTAAATGATTGCTGCGGTATGAAAAATGAGATAAAAAAGAGAACTCTTGAAAGGGTGATAAAATCTTGAAATCTTTTGAAGGAAATTGATTCTAATGGTCGAGTGCTTTTACTGTTTGTTGATAAAACTAACCCCTTTGTCTTATGGAGAAATATTCGAAGTACTTGGATTCTTTGTGCTCCTTTATTGCACAATCTACCAGTTTCTAATCTCAAACTGCATTATTTTACTTTACAGCTAATGGAAATCAGGGGTTTTCCACGATGCGGATAATATTTTGTTGTGCGTCTCCGAATTTGTTTACGTGTCTTGAGAAAGTTGCAATATTTTCGTCTAGAGCATCTATGTCAAAAAACAATTTTTTTTTTTTTTGGTGCATAAGTATGATTTTCAGGCTAAAATTTCAATCGTTTTGGGGAATTAATTCCAGTTACTTTGAAAGAAAATTTTGGTTCAAAGTTTTTAAAGTTTTTCCTCTCTACCCTACATTTATACAGCATTAATTAAACCATCTCGCCTGTAACTTGTTATTTTTTATATCTGCAACCACTTTTGAGGTAGAAACAGTTAATTTAACTTCCAGTTCTGAGAGTCGTCTCCAATTTTGCAACAGGGTCTTTTAATTTATCTTTCAAATTATAAACGCGCATTGAATTTCAGTGCATTACACAATGTATCCGTTTCTGACAGACAGATGTCTCCAAATTTGTAACAGAAGACTTTTAATTTATCTTTCAAATTACAAAAGCGCGTTGCAGTTTACTACAGTACACGGAGAAATTTTAAAATCAGTATATGTTTTTCACGTATTTTTGCCTTTATATCATTTCTGAATAATCAGTTTAATATTTTAATCATAGTAGTAAATTTGTGTTTGTTAATTTAACCTTACTGATAAATTTTGGCAAGAACACCATCAAAGTAACTAATAGAAAACAGTGCAATTTACGTAAATCACTACAGAATGGAAGATTTCGTATCTCTAAGGAAGGAGTTTGCTAGAGTTTAAAATTTATTTAGTTAAAATTTTAGCTTTACTTCATTGTTTCTTATTTTTAATAAATGCTCATTTCCCAAATAAAAACATAATTTTAATTGTGTTTATTAGTTTAATACTAGCTGTAAACAAAGAATAACTATATACTACATTATAATTTGCATGCTCTTCTTATCAGATACTTATAATGTTTAAATGATATATTTTTATAATTTTTAATTGATACTTCATTTCTATTCTTACAGTTTTAATTAAAACGGTCATAATTATACTGTCGTATAATTTGCCTATTTATATCTACGTAAAGGAAATATTTACAGTTTTTATTCATCGCAAAATGTTTTCTTTCGGTTAAATTAAACATAAGTAAGCTAGTAATGTAGACAATCTTATAAGCTTTGAAAATAATATTTGAAACCTAATAGTTCTGAATAAATATATATTATCCTCTGCAACAGAGATTTGAGTTCAAAAACACATTATTATTGAATATTTCAGACAGTTTATAAGGTATTTCCCCTCTTTTCCGCATATGTTGGTGTAACTGGAAGCACATTCGAAGTGTACATGGCAGGTCCGGAGTTGGAATCTCGGCGAGAGAATTGTACATAAGTCTAGCATTTGCTGATTTTATAAAATCACAGAAAATCAGTAATTTAATTCGAATTTTAACCGTCATCAGAGTGGGCATTGTATTGCAGATGTAGCTCTACAGCTTGAGTTTATTTTATATAGCATCATAATTATTCCTTAAAATGTTGGGAAGTCGTCATTGAAAGATTTTTCAAGTCAGTTACAAGAATGTATAATGCTTGGAATCGATACGCATAGAGGAATCGCTATGCAAAATCGGTTTTCATCATTAACTTAATTAAATTTTATTTTGAATATGTTACTTTCCCTATTCTATTTATTCTTCATACAGAGGGCGTTATATTGATAGTAGGTGCCATGCTTTTATCAACTATTCAGTCAAAATTTAATATATATTGTATGCAATCACGCAAATTCGTTTCTGTTTTGCATTCTAAAAACTCTATGTTCATGAAAAATATTAATTTATTATCATTCGATATTTATAATTTGTTTGCTCTTTTTACCAAACCAGCAGGTCTTAAAATGTCAAAGTACATCTCAACCTTTACTTACAACTCAAATTTTCACTATAATGCAAATTATTTTCACTTCTGTGTCACAGTATTTAATTGGTATATCTATGTACAAAATTCGTAACTTTTCCCTTTCCCAATGACAGCACGTCCCGGACAGTACAAACCGTAGCTAGAAAGCCATAACTACAACTCAATCACACAAGAAAATCATTGCAATACTAATAAACTCAGTAAATAATATAAAACAAATCAAATACTAAAATAATGAGAGCATAAATTTAGATGTAAATAAGACCGTGCTCTTAGTATCATATTTACATTATATCCACTAGGGACATTATGACCATAGTAAGAGAGTGAACGACTTAGGCTTAGAATTTGAGCATTTACGGATACGAACTATAACGTCGTTCAGCCTATTAAGGACCGCGTAAAAGCCGTCCCAAGGTAACTGTTTGGAAGAGCGTCCTTTCCCTTGAATTGTATTCCATAATTACACCTTGTCACCTTCGCAAATCAATGTGCTGTATCGCTCATGTCGTATCGGGTCTTCTTCTTCTCCGTTGCCACGCTGACTCACTCTAGTGCAAAATTGTACATCATTTCAAATCGCATCTGGAGATCTCGGATGCAGTCCTCAGGCAAAGGAGCATTCCGAAGGCGACCAAACAAAAGATCACAAGGCAGACGAAAATCAAGACGACATATGCGATAAAGAATAGCTGGTAGTCTTGTGGACAGCCCTGGAATACGCTAATAGGAAGAGTGGTAACTTCTTGTCCCATCCTGTTGGTTTCTGCAAACCACCCGCGAGACGTTATTAAGGATGGTTCGATTAAACCTCTCTAGCATTCCGTCTGACTGGGGATGCAAAGGTGTCGCTTGGGTTTTGTTGATGCCGAGTTGCCTGCAGAATTCTTTAATTACAGCAGAGGTAAAATTTCTTCCCTGATTAGAATATAACTCAAGAGACACTCCTAATCTGGAAATCCAGTATATCATTCCAGTTATGAATCCAATCGTACGACAGGTTACAACTTCAACATCGGCTGATCCAGACTTATGGAGTGATGAAGAAGTCACGAACGACCAGTTGGCAGACGGTGACATTAAACCCGTACTTTATTTAACGAAATGTTACCATGGCACCTCTTGATCCGAAATAGGATACGTTTCAGGACACGTTTTGAAGTACCCAATGACGACGAGGATGCAGTTCGTGGCAGAGGCCCCAGGATATAAAAGACGATACGTTCAAAAGGCGCTCTTACAGTGTATTGTTGCAGCTTCCCTCAGCTGCGTTTTTTCTTCTCTTACCGACACAAACATGGTATGATTGGCACAAATTTTGCACATCAGTTCTTGCATCATTGTAGTAGAAGAGCTCTCTATGCAAAGTCTTCATTATTCCGAAGTAGTCTCCTGTAGTACTGCTGTGCAATTCTTTAAGGGCCTCCAGTATTCGGAGTCTTGGGAGTATCAGCTGCCATCGGAATGCCTTTCCATCATCCGATTCAATCTTCCGGTGCAAGACGCCGTTTTGAATATGGAGTGAGTCCCGGAGAACACAATATTGTTTGTCGTAGGACTCTAGATCGCAGTTTCCTGCTAGGTATGTTTTAGTTTGAAGACTTCGTTTAAAACAATTATCGCGTTAATGTCGCTGCCTTTCAACTGGTTTTTCCTGATATTTTCGTTACTCCATGGATCTGGGCCAGACGATATTGGATTCGTAACTTGACGTGCAACCGGACTAAGCAGCTCGTATTGAGCTTTGACCCTAGGATAATACCGCCAGCTTTAATGGAACGGCCTCCTAAAAAGGCATATGGAAGTGTCTTGAAATGGAAGAAAAGTTATTCACAAATCTGCTATAGTAAATGCAAAGCCCTAGGAAACTTCTCAACAAATGAACATTTTCGAGGCATCTCCAGTCTTTAACGCACTTTATTTGGATTCATATCGACACCTTCGCAGAGATGATATGTCCGAGGTAATTCACTTCCTGTTTGAACAATTTACTATTTGCAGGACTTAATTTTAGATCGGCTTCTTTCAATTTCTGAAGCACCTTCAGAATATGTTTTTCTTGAAAACTTCTCCCGACGATGATGATGTCATCGACATGTACCAGACAGGCTTTGTAAGAAAGACCTTCTAACACGGTCTTCATGAGGCTCTTTGAATGTTGCCAGCGCTTTACATAATCCTAACAACATCACCATGAACTGCCAAAGTCCTTGTCCTGTAGTAAATGCCGTCTTTTCTCAGTCATCTGAGTCTATATCTACCTCTAAATCATAATATCCACTCTTTAAATCAAGCGTCGAAAACCAGTTATTTTCAGAAAATGTGTCAGGAATGTTGTCAGAAGAGGGTAGCTGTCTTCCTTCATAACCTCGTTCAACAACGACAGTCAAGTCAAATTCTAGTTGAACCACTGTCGTTCCGACCAGGACGATGGGAGACGGCCCATGGACATCTGAATGCTCGATCACGTCGCTTTCTTGCATGTCTTTTAGAAGTTCTCTTTCCGTTTAGCAATATGTAGATGTCTAGGACGTTGCTTGTTTGGTGGATAATCCCCGGTATCAATTCTGTGCTATGCCAATCTGGTTTCACCTACGTCAAAAGACAAGCAATAAAAAAAGTCTCAAAATTCTTTGAATGACACGTTCCGTTCGACAACACTCCTCTCTTCAACGCTTAGTTGTACATTCTGCAATAATTCCGATGTTAGCTCTCTGAAGACGCGGATTCTGGAGGATCTGGTTGCGCTTAACGCAGGTCATTGGAGCACATTCTGCAACAACTTCATCTTTGCTACTGACTTTCGCCCTATCAGTTACATTAGCAACTTTCCTCAAGACAACGGTCCTCGATAGGTCGACCAGTGCAAAGGTTACTAGTACT